GAGCCGGTCCCCCCCAGACACAGACCCGCTCGCGTCGCGAGAAAAATACGACGGTTTTGTTGTTCGTAACTGTCGGCCTCCTGGGGGCCCTCACCGGGGCTCGGGACCGTCAAGAAGCAACTCGGGACGAAAGGCCGGTCCCCGGGGGGGCGACGTTGCGAAAAAGTTACGACGTCGGAGGTCAGGGGGGGAAGCCCGATCCAGCGCGGACCGTCCCAGGGCCGCCCTCCAATGAGGGCGCGGCAGCTCCTGCTGGCGGTGCGCGCGAAGGGGATCTGGGCGCCCTTCGAAGAGGGCGAGGGGGGAAGCAACGTGTGACTGCGCGTCGTGGTGGCACAGCCATGCGCAAAGCTGCCCAGAGATTGCCCGCGCCGCTGGCACCGAGGCATTCCAGCACAGGGCGAGACCCTCCCTCTCCCGACCCTCCAGTGCAGGCGAGGGGGGGATCTTCTGAGATGGCGTGCGGCTTCTTGGAAGCCTCCCCATCTTCTCAGAGGCCTCCCTCCAGGAGCCCCCAAGGCTCGCTCTGAAGAGGGCCCCCGCCCTCCCATCCGAGAGGACCCCCTGAAGGGGCCCTGGGACACACAAATAAATACACACAAATAAAAAAAGATTCCCCATATTCTCCTAGATTTTCTGGGTTTTGTCTTCCCGCCCAATGCCCATATTTTCCCAGATTCTCCTGGGACTCGACGATTAATTGTGTCTGTGTGTTTCTTTCCCTCCTGAGCAAAGGGGGGGGGAGAACCAGCTCACGCTGCTGGCTTCCCCGGCGCCTCCCGGCGCCGGAGGCGGCCACGCCTGGAGGAATGGGCCCCTCGGCGGGGCCGAAACCGGCTGCATGCAGCAGATTTCGTAACTGGGGAGCCGCATGCGAACCCTACCCCTACCCCCCACGATTTTTCTGAGGAGGAGGGTGGGGTTCACTTCGTTCGGAAGCTCCCGAGCGAAGTGAACCCCACCCTCCCCCTCAGAAATCGTGGGGGGTAGGGGTAGGGTTCACATGTGACCCCCTAGCGGCGGGATGCGGGGCGGAGGCGGTGCCACAAGGAAGACGGCAGCGCTCGCGCGCCCTCTGCACGCGTAGCCTGAAGTCGGGCCCGTCCCTCTACAGGAGGACAATTCAAAAATAATCAAAAAATAGTCTGGGGATTTGATTTGATTATTTTTTGGCCAGGTTGGATTTTTTGGGGAGTATTCTTTGTTTTCCGGCCAAAACCCCTCCCTGCAGGGGGACCCGCCCGACTTGAGCGTAGCCGTGAGCCTGACCAGGGCGCAAGGGGAGCGGGGAGGGCCACGGGGGGGAGGGGCAGTGGGCGAGGGGCAGCCCAGACACCCGGCGGCTCGACGTGTTCAAGACGCGGGCCCCCTGACCTCTCGGCACCCTGGGGCCGACGATCCCATCTCGGATCGCTGCTTGACAGTCCCAGCACCCGACACTGGCCTCTACGGGCTCAAACGATTGTAAGAACCAGCCCTCTCGAATTTTCCTCCACCCGCCAGGTGTCTACGGGCACCCTCGGTTCACCACAACAACCACTACCTGGAGAGGGGCAGCAGGGGATTTCTGTGACGGTGGCGGCGCACACAATTGTGGCACCGGTCTCGCAGTGCGGCCTGCGCGCCTGCACTCCGCAGATCCACAAATCCTGCACCCTCGGGTCGTCAAGTGGTGGGTCCCACCAGCCCTCTGGTCGTCAAACTCATTCTTCCCCTCGGTGGACCCCTCCCCCTGCCCTCTCCCAGGGAGTCTGGGTGGGGGAACCGCGAGGGGTTGGAGCGGCCAAGGCGGCCCTCAACGGCTGCAAGATAGCACGAGATACCGCAAGATGGTCCAACTTGGCTCAAGATTGCCTCCAGCATGGCCGGCTTCAAGAAGCATCAGGAGTTTTTCTTTGGGTGGCGACGGAGTCTGAGAGCGGTGTCTCGGCGACTCGTGAGATGTCCCTGTAGTCAGAGCGAGTCGCCAGAAGGCGGATCCTGAAGAAGAGCAAAGCGCTGGGTGTGGGCCCACGCCATTAACCTAGCAATCACGGGCGGTTGCCCACGCGCACATCTACACGTACACATCAACACGTACATTTACACGTACACGTACACAGGCACATGCTCGAATTCAGATACACATGAAAGGGCACAGGCACGTACACACACTCACTCACTCACTCACTCACTCACTCACTCACTCACTCACTCACTCACTCACTCACTCACTCACTCACCCACACGCGCACACACACACACACACACACGTGCGCTCACATGCGCGCGCATACTGACATTCACCACACCAACGGGCAAGAAACGTGCTAAGATCTCGGTAACAGGGTAACAATATTTCTAGTTCGCGCGCGCATGGCGGCCCCTGGGGACCCCTGGACGAAACTACCCTGGGCGATGCCCGGGCGATGCCCAGGCGATACCCGGGCGCTCCAGGAGCGCGCCAGGAGGGCGCTGGGGCGCCCCCATACACGGCCCAAGAGACCCCGAGTCGCCGAAAGATCGTTCCAAGACGCTCATGATGGTCTCCAGATGGCCCCAGAGGCCGCGAACCAAAAAACCAAGAGAGCCTCAAGAGGCTCTCCAAGAGGGCCCCAACAAGCAAAAAAACATCCCATCCCCCTGGGAAAAGGTGCACTTTTCGCATGTACGACGTTTAGGGGTTCACGGCGTCCAGAACTGCCCTAGAGGCCTCCAACATCGTCCCCGGGCGGCCCAACACGCCCCCAAGATGGGCCCAAGAGAGCCCACGAGGGCCCCAAGACGGCCCAAGAGGGCACCAAGAGGCGCCCAAGACGGCCCAAGAGGGCCCCAAAACGGCCCCAAGAAGGGCCCAAGAAGGGGGCCCGGAACCGAAAAGTCTAGCCTTCAGCCCTAAGAAGCCCCCAGGAGGCCCCAGGAGGCCCACAAGAGGCTCCAAGGGGCCCGCAAGGGGCCCCCAGGAGGCACCTCAAGAAGCCCCAAGAGGCACCCAAGAGGCCCCAAGAGGCCCCAACACGGCCCCCAAGAGGCCTCAAAACTGCGTCGCAGAGGCACCCGAAAGGCCAACCACGAGAGCCCACCCAACATCCGTGAGGCCTCCGACCCACCGCCCAGGCACGGTGGCAGGAGGGGCCGAAGGCCAATAGATCCGCCGCCCCCTGTCGATTCATCGCAGGGGTGCCTGGCGTGCTGGATTTTTTCGGTTTGGGTTTTGGCTCTTTTTCCAAAAGAACTCTCCCAATGGGTTTCGGCCCGTCCCGCCGGCCGCCCCCCAAGACCCGCAAGACGCACACGCCATCGCCCAATCCCGATTCTTCCTCCAAGACGGCCCAACATGGCCTCCAGGATGGTCACGTTGGCCCAAGATGGCCTCCAAGATGGTCCAAGATGGCCTCCAAGTCCACCCAAGATAGTCCCAGACGGCCTCCGAGACGGCCCAAGAGGGTCCAAGATACCTCCAAGTTCGCCCAAGAAGCCTCCAAGACGGCCCCAGACGGCCCAAGAGGCCTCCAAGAGGCTCTCCAGGAAGGCCCGAAGAGGCCAATGTCGTCCACTTTACGATGGTCTTGGAAGGATTTTGGTGTTTTGTCTGTTCGGCTTCCCGACGCTCCAAGACAGCCCAGGAGGCCTCCGAGAGCGCCCCAAGACGGCCCCAAGAGGCCTCCAGGAGCACCCCGAGACGGCCCACGACGGCCCCGAGGCGGCCGCAAGAGGTCCCAAACACGGCCCAAGAGGCCTCCAAGACGCCCAAGATGGCCTCCAAGACGGCCCAGAGGCGCCCCCAGAGGGCCCCAAGTCGGTTCAGAGAGGCCCCCGAGACGGGCCGCGCCGCTCCAAATGGCCTCCAGACGGCCAAGATGACCTTCAAGATGCCCACGTGTGCCCCGAAGGCTTTCCAGACCGATTCGGGGAACCAAAGGTCCGATAGCTTGGCAGGTCTGGCCTCAACATTCGGCCACATAGGCGCTTCCACAAAGGCAGGGGGCGGCGGTGGTTCCCCGTAGGCGTCTTCGATCCGCCGCCCCATGTTGGCTTGCCACAGGGGTGCACAGCGTGCTCGATCCTTTCGATGTTGGTTCTGTTGGAAAAAATCCCTGGAGCTTCGGCCCTTTCCGCCGGCCACCCGAAAGGCCGCACAAGGCAGCATACACCACCCCAACGTCCACACAAAATTCTCCAAGACGGCTCAAGATGGCCTTTAAGATGGTCACGTTGGCCCAAGATGGCCTCCAAGATGGCCTCCGAGTCGCCAAAGATGATCCAAGATGGCTTCCAAGACGGCCCGAGAGAGTCCAAGATGCCTTGAAGTTCGTCCAAGAAGCCTCCAAGACGGCCCAGGATGCACCCAAGACGGCCTGAGACTGGCCAAGAGGCCCCCAAGAGGCCTCCAAGACGTCCTCCAGGAAGGCCCGAAAGGGCAAAATTCAGTGATCGTCCTTGGTTTTTGACGGATTTGGGCACTTTCTTCTTATCAGCTCTCCGACGGCCCAAGACGGCCCAAGAGGCCCCCAACATCGTCCCAAAAGCGCCCAAGAGGCCTCCAAGATGGCACAATGACAGCCCAAGAGGCCCCCGAGAGGGCCCCAAGAAGAGCCCAAGACGGCCCAAGATGGCCCCGAAGACGCCGAAGATGGCCTCCAAGACGGCCAACATGACCTCCAAGATGCCTCCAAGATGCCTCCAAGACGGCCGAGAAGGCTTCCAAGACAGCGAAGATGGCCCCCAGATGCACCCAAGACGGCCCCAGATAGCCTCAAGATGGCCGTAGACTGCCGAAAAGGCCCGCAAGAGGCCTCCAAGACGGCCCAAGAACCCTCCAAGACGTCCTCCAGGAAGGTCCGAAAGTGTCAAAATGGCCTCCAGACGGCCAAGATGACCTTCAAGATGCCTCCAAGACGGCCAAGACGGCCCAATTGAGCTCCAGAGTGCCTCATGAGGCTCCCAAGAGGACTCTTTCTCCCTTCCCCTTTCTCCTCACGATCCTCCTCTTCCACAACCTCCTCCACGTGTTCCCCGAA